AACTCTCTCTACTATGATAAAATAAAGTTTTTCCACGAACCGTGCGTATGTTTGCAAGCGTACATGGCACGCTGTGTTCCGAAGTCCTGAATATGCCACCGGTGGACGGAATGTTCTTTGATCCGGGAGCGGAACACGTCAGGGCGACAGCCACTTTCGCGAATGCTAACGACTCGTGAGATTTCGGGTACCGTGTACAGAGGACGGGAGCCGGCGGTGGTTTTCATCGAAGCGATTGAGTTTGCATGTCGTTGCTTGACGCCTTCTCGCTAAGAAATCCCTTTTCCGTGTATTTCGCATGGTACCGCTAAAGCTTCACCACGGCGGTGGTTGTTCGTGAAAGTTTTTGGCGCCGAATCAAAAGCCATAGAGTTCGTGTCTTCATTTCGGGAGAAAAATTGCCGAATAATGCAGATTGAAGTTTCGCTCTCGGGGAACGAGATTTCGGGTACAGCTACGACGTTTTCAAGAGAAGAAGAGAAGCCCTTTACGAGGCTTAAATTATGCAGAGCCCTACGATACGACCGCCTTGGCTCCGATTTAATCAGTTTAATGAAGGTGTGTTCACCTGCACGGTGCGCGTCACACGAGCAATATACCTCGGTGCACCCCGAGTGCATGTCGTTCCAGCGTTATGTCACCTGTTAGATTAACGAGCCGACGCTATAGAAGCACCCACCGGCGACCATAAATGGTGTAAAGTAGCCGGGCACTTTGTTAGGCTCCGTCGCGGAGAAATGGACCGAGTTACTGTGTCTCGCGTGATTTTCTAAATGAATTATCACGCGCCCCGTCTCGCCCTTTGTATTACTATTGAATTATATCGGGCGCCGTGCGAACAACGTGAACGAGTTTAAGCGGTTCGTTGGGGATGGTCACCGGGGCGGGGAATAGAAATTTAGAAACGTTGTGCGAAATGAAAATGAAATACAATGCATACTAAATTCCAGAAATATAATCCGTATTTTCAGACTTTCACGTTCTAAACGTTAAATTACCTTTCACGCTATTACTGAACGCGGGAATTAAATTTGTAAAAGGCAGATATATATCTGAGCTTCTGAAATTGAATTATGTTCGATAATATTTTCAGGCGAACGAGCGAACATTTTTTTGCGCAATATTTTCAGTGGGATTCTCTTTTAAGCGTGAAAATGAAATTGTGTTCCGGACGAATAATAAATCAAAAAGTTACCAAAACGGTAAATCCACTCGGGGAAGATAGAGAGCGCGGGATTGCGGTCTCGATGGGGCAATACCGGCGTACTTTCTGATGGAGTAGGCTCGAGTTTGAGCCCCGACCAGTTTTCCCGAGAGCCTTTCCGTTTCCGTGGCCCCCGCAATTCACCCACTCAGTGGCCAAACTAATTTCTACCTTTCTTTGCCGATCTTCCGGAACGATTTAACGTGGCCCTTGTTATTCAAACTCGTCCGAACCTATTAGTACTCCCTTATTAAGTGAGTCAACTAACTCGAAATTTCCAAGGGAATTGTACACCGACTCTCTTATGTAAAGACAAGTACAGAAATTGCTTCTAATTTTATCATTAAGCTTTTACTAGGGACGGTAAAATACTAGAAATTGCTGGAACGTCCAATCTGAATATTTTCAGTTTCTGTCCGCGCAATTAAGTAAGAAAGAGAAAAAAAGATCTACAGGAGCTGTCCGACGAAAGAGTGACTCCGAGTTCCCAGGACGACAATTTACTTGGGCTGGCATCGACTTAATTGGCCGGCGTAACTCCGCAGGAACTTTGGCCAGCTGACTGGTGAATTAACACCTCGGAAAATCGTGAGGATCCGCAGCGCGGAGGAATCCGCGGGACCAGCGGAAGTCGCGATTCCGCATAGCGTCGTCGTCGGCTCGGCCGAGCGGAAACTATGCCCGACGCTCGGGAGATATCCGGATAATGTTTCGAAAGATAGGCGGCACTGCGAAATGGCACGGAACTAATTTGCAAAGTAAATTCGTCGACCGTGCAAAGTGGGCCCCCGACCCGGCATGAGTCGCGAACTTAATCACGCGTTCGAGAACCCAGGAGGGGAGGGACCGTTTTCGCGGAACTAGTTAGAAATATGGTGCTCTGATGACGGATGTCTGGGGATTCGAGTTTAGATCGGGACACGTTGTTGTAATGATGTCGCAGTGGAGGGCCGCTTAACGAGATTCGAATGCGAGTCGACGCGTGAGAATGACGGACGTGGACGAGGATCGAGTGTAAGTGCATTTTGAACGCGTGTTTGTCCATGACTAGTGGCCTACCGTGATGTACAACCTGTTTTGTATCCGTATTTGGAGATAGCAATTTAATTAGTACGTACAAAGATGCGGATGAAAGTATGCCAAGAACGCTGATTAAAAATACTGATTACGATACGTATTTGATAAAAATATCGAGATTGAATCGTTCGGAAATTCTATTCCCCCTTCCTGAGCTTTTTTCCAAGATAAATAATCTCAATGACCAGCTCTGGAATTGCTTTCTAATCCAACGAATCAACTGTCGCTGTAGTTCCCTCGAAAATGCGAATTCCGAACTCTCCCGGAGATTCTTCGAATAACCGTGATCCTCCCGTTAATTAAGAGATCGAAAAAAGAACATCGGAGCCCGGCAGCTACGTAGCTCCGACAGTGCACCGAATATTATGGGCCGCCGCTTTTTCATTCTGCCGGGGAAAAAAAAATGCCAATCGTTATTTAGGCCAGTCGCGTCGACTTCGCACGGAGCTCTGAATACCGGCAGTTCGATAATAATTAACCTGAGTGAGCTTGGACGCTCTTATCCGTGAATGGATTTTCGTAGGGCCATCACATTGCATTCAAATTGAATTATATCCACGAGGACAATGTATACCTTTATGAAGCAAAGAAAATATATACACATATAACATCAACCGGCGATATTAACTGGAAAAGTTAAGTCCGCTGAAATAGCTTCTGTAATTCCCTTAAAAGTCGCTGCTACGTTTCCGGTAATGTACACATAAGGCGAAACGCTACTCTTTGTCAATTAACTAAGATAAATAAATGAAATTTCGACCGACGCTCTGTATGTGTGTGTGTGTGTATGTGTCTGTGTCTGTGTATGTTAGGTGAAAAATTTAATTTCTCCCGGACTGCTTCCATGCGACGCGGGGCAACGATCTCCGTTGAAATTTCGTCGCGACAGAGTTCCGGTGGCGTGCCCGCCAAAACGGACGCGTACGTTTCAACAAAGCGCTCCAATTAGCGTAATAATCAAGGCTGGATAATTACACGAGCACCGGAATAGATGGAAAAGAGAGACAGACAGACGGACAGAGAACGAGAGAATATCTTTGTCGTGAAAGTTCGGTCCGGTCATTATTTGCATCGGTGCTTATTAAGTTTTCTCTTTGGAGGTGGTGGGCGGAATCCGAATGATTTTTCCGGCCGGTATTTTCCTTACCTCCGGTATCCCTGAGGCGATTCACCGTCAGCCCGTACCCGATATCGAGCGCACAAAGACGCTAAGAAGGAACGCTCTCGCTACCTCGGGAAATCAACCCTCCTTACCCCGCGGACCGGAGGTGGCGAACAAAAATATTGGCTCGTTTAAGCGCAATTTTCAGCCGCATTACGCGCCGACGGATCTCGAACAACCATCGATCCTTCATCGGTTAAGTTGTTTGTACTTCGCCGTTTTACACGGCCCGGAGACGTTTCGATAAATTCCTGAATGCTTTCAAGCAAATAAGAGTTATCTCCGTGTTTCTTCATCTGAACGTAAAGTAAAGAAGTAGGATGCTCCCAGTACTTTCCGTCATCGAAAATCGTAGGTACTTGGCACACTTACCATCCAAACGTTTTAAATATATCAGAAAGGAGACAGTTCTAGGAAATCCCATTACAGTTTTTGACAATTCTAAGAAGGATTACATTTTTATCTCGACAACTGGTGTTTGAGAAGACGACGAGAAATAATTTCCGTTGGGAGAATTAATTTTCCCCGGCAGCGCCACTGAACGGTTCGTGAACTTTTAAGGGATGATGAATGCTGTTCGAAGTTCTCCCAAGGTACGGGACTAATTACGTTCATCTCAGCCATTAGATCCAAGAAGCAAAATACGTTCTGTTTACGCTCGAACTTGATCCCCAGTCGTTGCCTACTCCCGTCTTAGGCCGTAGGCTATGAGGCCGAGAAATAGAATACTTTCGTCTCAGCCGTTAAACCAAAGAGCAAGATGCGTTTTGTTTACGCTCGCACTTGACCATGATTGAAACCTCGATATTGAATTAGGTGGCTCGAGCACAGTATCAATGCCTAACGGTGCGTTTACGTGATAAATGATAACGCCCTTTAGACGGCTATTGCGCCACGGTAGACGGTCTGCCCCCGCGATTCTACGTGAATTCCCAATAACGTGTCCCCCCGGCGTAATATCGGTTCCTTACGAGCACTATTTTATGGAGAAATAATGGCGGGCACGTAGCTAAGTCCATGTACTTAATGTCCGCGTCCCGAACGCCTTTCACGATCGGCAAGATTTAACATCTTGAACGATTCATGAGAATTGTTCTGAACTTCGTTTGCTCGCTTTTAGCCGAAGAAGACAAAGCATTGTAAAGAGAATTTGTGATCTAATGACGAAACGAGGAAAAGAGGTGAAAATCTGTGTGTCCATAATGTAATTGGATCGGAAATGTGACCGGTCAAATGTGATTAGAATTGGAACGGAACTGAGTTTCGATCGCCGAAAGCGTTCTACCGTAAGAACTGTCAACTTGAGTGGATGAAGGGGATTTTCTCTGGCCGGGAGAAATTGTTCGGTACAGTTTCCGGATTTTCCTCGGGATTTTCAGAGGTCAAAGAAAATCGCCGTGTACTGTCTCCGGATTTCTATCGAAAGATTTTTATGGCACAAGGAGACGTTACGAGTTCGTTACGGGAGACGCGATAGCGTAAAAGATTACCGATCGCAAGAATAAAAGATAAGCGCGTGTCCGCTTTGGTGATGAACAGGAGTAAGAGAAAACTTACAGGTACGAGTTCTGCTGGTCCCAGGAAACTATCTCTGTGACGACGAACCGACCGGAAGTGATGGCGGCGATCCTCGGCTTGCCCGAGGTTATATTCGTAATTGCAATCGCGTGTCTCCAATAACTGGCATCGTGCTGCCTTTGCGGCAGAATAGTAAGGAACGAGTCCCCGTCGTCGCTGAACATCGGCGGCTCGAATTGCTCGACCCATCCGCGTTTCTCCGAGTGCGACAGCGCCTGTGAAAAATGAATATTTCATTCGCCTCATCCCCTGGTTTTCGGTTTCTTCGAAGCGGTGAAACACGTGATCCATCCGTGGCGAAAAATTGCGCGTCGTTGAAATCGAGCACGCCCCTTTCCATGCCTCGGTGAAGACGCTTTTCTTTTGATGAGTAGGAAGAAAACGCGGTTTTCGCTCGCGTAAGTATACGGAGTTTATTGTAAAAGGAAAATAAGTCAGCACAGACTGACAGTTTGTGATAATGATAAAGAACATTTGTCCGTTTTAACGCGGAAGATATGAGAACACTTACGTTGAATTATCTGCGAGAGGAAATAGTAAAAGCGTGGAAATTACGTCCCAGTTTTATCTTCTTCAGTGTCAAGCTCGTGATACCAAACAATAAACGAAATAACATTCTGTTCATCGAGTCAGCTCACGAAAAGTTTCCACTCTAAACCCACCGTAGCCTAGCATGTGACACTAATTAAACCGGGTAGAAGTTAGTTTTCTACGGGCGATAAAACCGACGTGAAACCATGTGACGAATTGCTATTCAAATTTGACTTGTTAACTCATCTCAGCAAAGGTAGAAGTTATATAATCATATGAAATATTTCTGCCCCGCGCAATGCGTAATTGACATAAAAAATATTTAACAATATTTAAAAACTTATGCGTTTTCTTTTTTTATTATATTATATACGTACCGTAGAACAGTTGGGTAGGGCGTTGCGAACATAGCAGAAGTGGAAGTACGCCTTGTTCTGCACCCTGTTCATCCAGGTCGCGTACACGAGATTGTCCGTAGGAAAAGCGACGGCAGATAAAATCCGCTCTTCGGAGGACAGCTCGACCGGATGTTCGATTTCAGTTAAGCTCACGTTACCCTGAACCACCTTCTCTAAGTCGACGTAAAACAACTTCACCGTGGGATTGATCGTACCACTCTGAAACAAGGTAATACGAGCACGGTTTCAACTTCTCGCTCGATTCGCTCTTTTACCTTGATTAATAGCGTCGTCAGACCCGATGTTATTTCGCAGGAGTTAACTGTATACTGTTGAAAGTTTCCTTTATTATCGAGAGAGATTTCCTTCGCAAAGTCCTATGATTATCTCCCGATTGTCGAGAAATAAAACTAGATACGTGCTACGTGTTTCTCGTTCTATTTTTATTCTACACCGCTCAGATGCCGTTCCAATTTTAATAAAACGGAACGGCGCGCGCTCATTACGTTTCTCGTACACTCGTTACCGGATATATTGAAATTCCATCGGTACGAACGTAAAACGCGCGCGTTCGCTCTCAAACATATCAATTCTTCAACTATGCCGGCCCCGTCCGATTATCAGAATCGTAGCGACGATAAGCAACGTAGTACTTGACGCCCGTGCACACGTGTCAAACATTTAAACATTCAATAATTTTTACTGCTCGCTACTGCTATCTTCTCGACAATGAACGAGAGGAACGATGCAAAAAATATACATTCTGTCACGCGCGTATTAAAGGACGGATGACATAAATCCCGGCCATTCCTTCGCCATTCGACAAACGCTGAACAGAATTTAATCAGAATGTCACATCAAAATTTAATTACTACCATCACGTAATTAGTTTCGGTACCCGATGAAAATTCATTCGTGATTCGACTTCTGACGGTGTCTAGAGGAATCGCTCGATCGATCGTACCGTCCTTTCTCGAATCAGTTCGTCATTCCGTGAAAAGCAATTGGCGTAAGAGTGGAGGGGGTGTTTATTAATGTTGCCTTCGTTGTTTAACAGTAAAATTATTAAATCCCTCAAACTGACGAATTTTTTATCGAAAAATACATACGTACAAGAAGTCAGTAATACCAGTCATAAACTGGATTGGAAATAATTTTAACTTCGGTCAATGAATATGAGGAATTTTTCAAGCCAGAAATATTTGAATAATAGAGATTGTTAAACCGTGATCTGTACGGATTCGATCAATGAATCTGGTACACCGCGTCGACTACGAAAATCCTACGTGCTTTTACCACCGGATATCATTAAAAACTTACTAACCGAATGTTCGCATTTATTGCGATTTTCTGGAAAGCATATATTCATATATGGAGTACCGGAATTCGCGAACCATTGATGAACATTTGAACGAAAAATTCAATAATACTGGTACAATACAATAATTCGGACCTGCAGGCATTATGAAAAAGTAGGCATTATAATTATTAACGAACCGCGGTGAAACACTGAAATTTGGCAATATTCTCCGGGAAGTCAAATCTCCAGAATCTGCATTAATGGGCGGTAAATGTATCTTTTCACGGGGATATAAACAGTGAAAAAAAAGGAGAAAGTAAAGAATTTGTTTTACCGAGGGTTAAGTCAGCGATATATCTTTTCAGGGGCAGGGCATATTGTGGGTTACCACGAATCAACAGGACTATGCAGCGAAGAGTTGAAAAATGTATAGGGGACAACGGGTCGAAATAAAAGCTGGAAGAAAAATGCGCGGGGTACTTCGCAAAGCAAAAAGAAAACTGTGGGAATACTTTACATGGGACGCCGTTTGAAAAACAAAAAACGAGCGAAGGGAGAGGGTGAAATAGGGATGATATCGGGCAAAAAAGGTCGAGGTTTGGCGAGGAACGCGTCGATGCGCTTGGAATTTATTATAACGAAATCGTCGGACAATGCTCGACGAATATAAACGCGTAGAAACGTGGAATTATGAATGCTCCGAGCAACGATTTTCGGTCACGTCGCGCTTTTATATTTCGGAGCCGTGATTATTATTCGGCACAGAATTTGGAGACTATCAACATTGACACGAGTACAATTGAATCGGTAAAATCACAAACAACATCAAATCATCTTTTAGCATGGATTAAACGCCGCGCTTTAATTAATATAATCAGACGCACATGACTAAAACAGATGTAGGTGTACTTTGCGTATCCGAGATTTAATTATCGCTAAGTCAATTTTTCGGTCCAATAACATTTTCGATTCGTTTAATCATTGAAAATATCACAATGCAATGTAAATCTCAATTCTCGACAAAGAGAAGTTGATTTCCATTTCTGGTTTCATCGATCCGATAAAAAACTGTAAAAACGCAAGTAGTAACTTTTTTGCAATAAAATTACCATTCGGCGTGTCGAGGAACAAGACAAAAATTTCCGTTTGCTTTAATGTAGATCGATCTTCAACCAATTTTTATTTGACTCGTTGCGAAAGCTTCGAAGGTAGGTAAATATAGGATCTTGCTCACGAGACTAAACAACGAGGTACATTTCCATAGATAGCGATACACATGGAATAAAGAACTTCAAGAAATAAAACAGCTTGTCACGACCTTGTCTTCATCGAAACAAAAAGGAAGCTAGAGAAACGAACACGACTTGCCTCGTCGATATCGAGTATTCTTCCAGCTGGTTAAAGAAGCGGAGCACGGACGAACGAGTCGATGGAGGAAAATTATTTTCCGGGGCAACAAGAAGGGAAACATCCCGTTACGGGAAACAGAGACGTCGCTCGGGGTCAGGGAAAGGGAGACGAGGCTGCACAGGGGTGGCACAGGCGGAAATTTAAATCCTCCCCCGACCGTCGGGCCGTCGAGGCCTCGAATCCTCTCCCCGCTGTCCGTGAACGTCAGATTGGTCCTTTAGCCGCCCTCTATCCGTTTTCTACATCTCTTTCTTTCCTTCTCTACCTTATATTTTTTTTTTTCCTTCTCTTTCTTTATTCACGCCCATCCTCTCTCATTGTGAAATCTCTGTGATCTTTAAATGGGCTTTTTGCTACCGCACGGATTTCAGATTCGTGACGAGTATCAAAGTGGGCCACTTTGTCCACCGGAAAATGAGTTTTCGCGGACACGTACTCCGGGAAAAAGAACCGGCGGGGTCGAAGATGCTTGTTGAAAACCACCGAGAATTGTGCGCGCCGCGACCTCCATTTTTTCCTCTCTGTCTGTCAAGACCACTCTTCCCCGATCTTCACCTGCCTCCTCCTACGCTCTTCCGTCTCTCCTTAAATCCGTAACTGCGTTTCCCGTGTGTGCCCACCAGCGGCCAAACAATTAATTTTTCAGAACAAAATGTTGACATTTTATCTCTTGAATTCTTCAAATCTATATAATTACTTTCTCAATACGCGTTTTGATTTTATCTGATTGCGTGTTCACTAGCTTGAATATTTTTCAATTATCTGTCTGTTTTCTCACTCGTTCATTTATACGTTTTTCCACGCTAGTGATTTTGTTTGATTCCATTGTACGTCGAACAATTGTTGTCGCTTTTATTAAACGTACTACTCGACCGAAAAATGTGTAATTATTCCCCTCTCCCCTTCATTTAATATTTAAAATATTATAATTCAGAAAATGGAAAATAAAATGAAACATTTATTCAAGTATGAATATTTACCAAACATCAATCGTGTCTGACAGAAAACCATAAAAATACATAAAAGTGTGAATTTCTAGGTCCTCGTCTACAGTAAATCCAGCCATTTCTTATCCCTTTTCACCCAGGGAAGAAACGACAGGGACACAATTTCGATCTCCCAAAGCAAATTCCCAATAAAATTCCTAAAACCTCTCTAAGTTGAATTTACAGATATAGCTTCGATCTCTACTCGACGGCGTTATACAACCACGTTTACAGCCCTCGAAACCTGGACCTAACTATTAGCCACTTTAGCGCCCCGCTGCTCTATATATATACCAACGAGGGTGCCCTTCTCGACCCTCTTTCGGACCGTTTTCCCTCGACTTCAAGGGTTGTTCCAAGTCGCGAGGGAAATTTCTTCGTACGAATATTATCGAGCAAACTGGAACCTGGCGAATCATCCTCGTTGGTACGACTGAATTTGTTTCTCCTTTCCGCCCGTATGAGGATATAAACGCTCGACGATATGCTAAATTTAATTAATCCGGCTGCGTTAAATTCCTCCTGCGGCCGGCACTCAAGGTTCTTCTCCAGACGAGCACATCGTCTACAAGGCCGTTAACTCGCCCCGGAGGACGCTTTTTCCAAGATCACGATGCGTTCCCTTCGTTAAGAAGAACTTTCTGTTCATACTCGTGATCATTTTCTAGCGAACGACGCCGTATTTCCCACAAAATATGTCTGTCCGAGGAGGTTTTCGCGTAGTAAAAATTGCATGAAACATGCAGCAGAGTTCGCTGGGAAGATATTGCCGTTTTTTCGTTGACAAACGTTGGGGAAAATAAAAATAGCGAAGAAAAAGATGGATGAACCGTAGAGGAAAAATGATGTGCCGCGAGATATTTATGCGATTCTCTTTGTATTGCGTTTAGGAAGGATTGTTGAGCCGAGAGAACCGGAAGTTAGTTTCAGGTACAAAACGCTAGTCCTCTTTTCCCAAAAAGTTATCCTGGCAACAAATGTGTCAGGCATAATTGATACATCGTAAACAGGCTCGGGTGACGGACAGACTTCGCGAATACGCTTCGTCGTGTACGCATTTCATACTCATCCGTCACGGAGATTAAGTACCCGACCGGCAACGTGGTATCTCTCTCCTCGACTGCGAGGCAATTTTCAAACCAATCCTACCGGTGCGCAACTTAACAACCGGTCCGTGGGAAAAATAAGGAGGAGCTCTTTGCCAAAACAAGTAGATAACGGAAGATGATAGTCGAAGGGCGTGCAAGAGGCAGTTACACAGGTCAGACAGGTCTAACGACGAAACGAACAGGTTTACCAACCGCGACCGCGATTGTGTAAGTTAAATTGCGTAAGTTGAAGCCGGCTGGAAAAGGAGGATCGTTTGGAAGTTGTAATGAAAAGTCCCCTGGGAGCCGGGGACGGGTGAAGACGAAACGGAAGCGGATTAAATAAGTTGCCCGGGAGTAATTTTTGCTCGTTTTATCAAACCATGGCCCCGTTTAATCTCATCACGCCGGAGAGGCAACACCAAACAAAAGTTTTTTTCAAGTTTAGTTTCGATTCTATTAATCTAGAACTAGACTGTTCAGTGGAGCAATTATTACTGTCGAGAAAATAAGAGAAATCGTTATCGCCAAACGTTTGAATGCTAAGAAACTAGCTTTTTTTTTTACTGGGCAAAAATTATATTTTCGTCGTCGGCTGCGTCGTTCCAAGATAAATGGTCATGTTGAACGATTCCGTACAAAATGGCTGTTCCATGAAAGTTTGTTAGGAAAAAAACTACTGACCGTACCGCTTCTACTCGAGGTATTGAACGGACACGCCGCTTTTAGTTAGCCCGTGCAGTTTTACGGAAAATACAAAAATTGGACCAGACCCTCTCCAACTTCGCTCGCAGAAGCTATACACAGAACGAAACTACACAAGTACATGTATCATATTAATTTTCCCGTTGCTGGGATATGTTTCTTCTGTAGGCGCTCTTTCTGTATACGTGAAAAATGGATATGCGTTTAGGAAAAAAATCTTGCGCAACACTTGGCGAAAATAAATGACGAAATATGCACCGGGTTTGAAGTTTTTCCGATGGCCACGTCGTGACCGGTGTATGTAACGCGGCCGCGGAGTATCAATCTACTTTTTTGCCACTGTTTCGGGAGTCTGGACTATCAACCTGTTTCCGTGCCAGTACGTTCCGGTTTGCTTTTCGTTTAATTTATGTCTTACCCGTAACACATCGCACAGGGTAGTAGAAAATTACTTTCATAAAAAGACTGGGCACGATAAAAAAGCATAGCATCGAGACTAGCTTTAATAAACAACTAAGTCCAATAAGAATTAAAAACAAGTGCACGCTACATATTGAAAAAAGATGTAAAGTTAAGCAAATTTGATAATACAGAAAGTTGGCATAGTATGAGAGAACAGTAGGCTCATTCACGGTGTCGGTTCCTATGATCTCATGATCAATAGATTCACCATGTTAGTTATACGTAAATCGTTAAATACTGGGATTAGAAAGAAATTGTATGCAATCTTTCTTGTGGGTAAGTGCAGTCTCTACGATTTTTATTTGAAGCATTTTTCGAAATTCCGAGAAAAGAAAGTTTTCAATTTTTCGAGATTTTGTCAATGGTATCCTCTCAGATTTTTCGAAATCTTCGTTTATTGCCAAAGACTGCTTATTTGTTGCCGCTACCAAAAATTGTTTCAAATAAAACATGCATAGAAATGGTAAAAAAAAGACTAGTCCAACTGACACAAGTTTGTGACGTGCATGCTCATTTTTGACTCTCATCGTATGCGACTTGCACACATGCCCGGTTCTCGTTCCGTGCACGCGCGTCAAATTGTCTACAACCCGATGCGGTACATCTCGGTGCACAAAAGCTTTCCCCGTTTCGAAGCTTCGCGCGGGGTTCGTTTCCGCCACGAAAGATCAAACGGAATGCGAAACAGGCCGCTGTCTATGGCGGGATTTCTCGTTTCCTCGCCAGCCTCCAGCTCCCCCTCTCTTTGTCCGTTATTGTACGCTTACCTTCGGATAATGGATCGAGATCGCGGACGTATACTGGAACGTCAGGCTGCCCGGGTATCCGTAAAACGGTATCGTTATGATCGGCGTATGGGAATCGTCGAAGTAACCAAAGGCCAGTTTACTGCCGCTCGGCGAGAACCATAAAGCCTTGTTGGATCCGAACACCTCCTCTGAAATGAAACGAAAACTGCCGTTAAAGTCGACTGCCGCGGGATACTACACTGGACATGGAAACCGGGTCCTTCTTGTATGGAGAATATGGGCTTAGGATTCTTCGCCCTTCGACCCGGCGCAAAGTCCATCTACTTTATCGAGGATTACATAGATTTTGGAATGTCAGGGGTCATAAAAGCCGAAACGATAACATTTATGCGCACCGAATCGATTCATAAGATAATGAATGTAAT